TTCTCTAAATGCCAAATGTAAATGCACGGTATAAATTTACACTTTTATCCTCCAGCACATTGTAACACACAACTCGCACATTCCGTAACAATAAAACATTGCCAAATAAGCATTTTTATGGTATACATAATTTTAATTGAATATTTCGATGTTCGAACACCCTAATAATTACCTTCCTTGCGTATCGAAATAGAAATCTAAAAGCAAAATCGATGAAGTCGCCGGCCGACGGCCTCGTGAAATCAGATATTTTAAACGGAGGAGAGATATCTAAGAGAAATCTTCGATTGAAGTCGCATGATTATTTTTTTTTTAATTTTAAATTAAAAAGCTCAAAAACTTATTAATGCTGAACGTTTTGGGATGACCAATGACCTGTGCAGGTTGAAAACGATAAATAATCGGGGCCATTTCCCCCGTCAGGCGAACATTAAAAATCACCGTTATGGCATGTAAATCTTGTGGCAAGTTTAACCTGGCGGTGTGCAACGAAACGTAAAACGTTAATTCATCACGAGCATTGATTTGAATAACTTAGAGTTAAATACTAACAGTAGATGGATGGCGACAGATGGTATCTAAGTTCTTGAAATTTTTTTGTATATTTTTACTTTTGTTATTTATATTGTTATAGAATCAAACGTGTTGGTTGTGCAAGATACCTTTACGCTTCAACAATGAAGTTGAATATGTAGGGTTAGCTCTAAATGAAGTAGAGACACCTTACAAACTTTACAACTGCTTTTTACAAACATCAGTAAATAAATAAATAGTAAATTCAACCCAACCAAAAAGCAGACCATGAGAGTCACGATTATGTCTTATATTCTTTCGTTTAAGAGATATCATTGTTTTTGTGAGATTGTTGTCTTATGATATTTAGCTACTTGTAATATTTATAGGAAAATAAAAAGTTAAAAAATGATGGAGCTAATGTTTAGATCATCAATTCATTCTTAACCCACAAAAGATTCCGCTTCCCATATGCGATGGTATTAAAAATCTTGTTGTGCTTGTAGATAATGCTTTACGATTTACGAACACCTAAGCAATTTTCGTAGAAAGCATATGCTGCGTTGTAGACATGTGTTAAATAAATAATTAGCTTCCTAGATTAGTGGGAAAAAAATTATGCGGATGTCTCTCTTAATAATTAGAACATCTTTGCTTAGTTCCAGACAAACTGTTGTAGTTTAGACTTTTCTGATGTAATTCGATTGCAGTTTAGATTTTTTCCAGTGTATATTTAAACATTTCGTTGTAATTTAGAATTTGGCCAGTTTAGTTCCAGATATTTTCTTGCAGCTTAGTGTTTGGCCAACACAATTCTAAGCTTTATACTACAGTTTAGACATGCGTTAAATAAATAATTAATTTCCTAGCTTTGTGAAACCTTTATTTAGAATTTTATGAATTAGTACTTCCTGGGCGATATGAACATGACGTTGTCTATCGCTGTATCAAAATTCATCAAATATGAGTCATTAGGTTGCTTAATTGATTACGTCAATTTTTGGATTTTATGAGGAGATTTCTCAAATTGCTTTGAAGTTACTCTTTTTTGGGAGTTAAGAAATTCCACGACTTTATTATGACGAGTTAGGAAATGGTAATTTAAATTACAGCTAAAATATTCAATTTTTAGAACACGATAGATTTTTCTTCTACAAATTGATTTTTTCGCCAGTGTCAACAAGACATTATCCGAAATGGGCAAGCACCTACATTTCTTCACCGTATTTTGACCACCACTTCAGATTTTCACAATTTTTCAACCTACTCAACTCATAGTTTTGTTATGAGTTGTTGTTGAATGCTCATAAATCGTCGATGCTGTCCTCTGTTCTTTTTTTCCATTTTGACGTCACTATCCTTTATCATGACCAAATCATTTAGGGTGTTCTTGAAATAATTTCGCACATCTTGCCACTATCAAGAATAGGCACTGGGCAGACGATGTAGAGAGGTCTACACCACCTGTGTAGAGAGGATTGGGAGACGTTGAAACACATGCTGAGAGGGTGTAGTGAGCTAAGACTGTAAGCAGATTTTGGGAGAGGGGGCGAGGGCAAAAGATGTATGAGGAAAGTGATAATAAAACGCTTATTAATTATTAATTAATGGTGGAACGTTTCAAGAAAATTTTCGAACTATAATTTACTCTAAATCTTTTAAATATCGGAGTAAGTGTTGCCTGCACATCTCTCTGTGACCAAGTCCAAGGTGTTGGACGTGTCTATCTCATTGTTCAGATATCCATCAAGACTCCTCTTATGGACCAAGATAAACTGGATCAAAACATTTTCTGTTCTCGCTATATTAGTTGATAAAAAAAGCAATTGGCGGATTATCTTAAACATTCCGAAACATTTCGAAAAGCATAACACAACAAAATCGTCATCTCTGGCTTTTCTGGAAAACGATCCATAAAGAAAATCAATGATGTAACATTAAGTACAACAAGATCACCAATAAGGTCTTCGTATCAATGAGACATTAATTTATGCCAAACACACCTAAACCCAAACTGGACATAAATATACCAGATAGACTTATTAATACAGGGACTACACTCTCACTTTAAAAGACGAATAAGATTAATTGCAGCAAAAATTGGAGTCTGGAGCGGAGCTAAATATGAAGTGGACACAAAATCGACTGCTGTTATTAACCAATGATTAATAAGAAAAGTGAAAGTTTATTGGTGGTCGGTTGGTGAACTTAAAAACGTATGGGTGTTGGTGTTTATTTAGCTAATTGAAATTGGCCAATTGCTAAATCACGTCGTCTAAAGTAATAACTTCCGTTGTGGTAAGGTGATTACGTAGTCCTTGAGTAGTCTTGATCTTATGTATTAGAATGGTTTGGGTTAACCATCACCCGAAACAACAACTTTGTTTTGGCAAAAATAACGCTTAGGTCACTCATCTTTGAGTTTGCATGTATTCTTCTTCGAGGTAACGACACAGAATTATCAAGCAAAGCTTATTAATCATTAATTGAGACTTACGGAAATTTTCTCTGTGGCTTCTTCATTATTCAAACCAAATACTTCCACCAAGTACTATAGTATCATAGTAACCATTCATATTTCAGTATGTGTTTTATAATATTTTAGGTTGGCAAACATTTGGGTTTAGCCGCATGTCTTTCTAGACGGCTAAACCCGAATGATTCTAGTTCTAGGTCTTGTGTTAGTTCTAGTTTTAGCTTTATAACTAACACTAGACCTAGAACTAGAAACATTTGGGTTTAGCCCTGCGTCTCTAAAGACGGCTAAGCTCGAACGTTTCTAGGTCTAGTGTTAGTTCTAGTTCATCTTAAGAGACGCACTGCCCAAGTTTTTTCTTTTATATTATGAGCCTTATTAAGTCTCAAACTAACAACATTACGTTGTTAGTACCTCAAAACGTGCAATAGTAGTTGCCTAACCATGCGTGACGTCACGAACGGGTCATTGGTTGTGCACCTGTTCTTAGGATATAGCAGTCCTCTTAGATTCTACCGTTTTTGTATTAAACAACAATTTCTGAAGATATATGGTTTGAGTAAGGATAAGTTCAGGAGGAAATGAGAATCAAATTTTACCAAAATTTACAAATTCACATTTTTGACACACTTTATTACCGTGATAATATTTAATTTTAATATATATATCTTTTAATATTGCTTAGCTATTATTTGATTAATGATTGAATCATTGAAAGATTCGTTTTATTATAACACAAAAAAGGGTAACTTTCTCCCACACACAAAAGACGGTATATTGCGACAAAGCTAAGAAGAGAAACTTCCTGGACGATTACAAACAATAACTATGTGTGTATGCACGCAGGTCGTATTGCGAAATTTTTTTGTGATTAGAGCTCCCATTGTTGTGGGAGTCTAAAGAGGATTATCAAGCGCGATGCACTTTCTAATTACTCTTAATACAAGTTGTAGTACGATGACATTATGTCTATTTTTGAATCGCACATCCTGCTACATCTGAAAGTATCCAATTAAGAGATCGTTTCAGTTCGAGCGCGTCTTCTGTGTGCTTCGAAAATTTTCGCTTTTCAAACCTTCGAGTCGCTTGCCTGGGAGGGCGAAATTACTACTCAGGATGCAGGTGTAATACTTTTGTCTTTACGAAGGAAGTACGTGTAATTGTATCCCTGTACCTTAAACAATTATTAAGTTCGTGGTCTATATCAATTTGTTTTTAATAAAATTTTTTATCGCATAACATTTTCTCACGGTTGAAGTGAGTCGGGAATTCTTGTATTTTGAAATACAGACGAATACACGCATTCCTTTGTTGTTTGTTGAAAAGCTGCTGGTCTACGACGACTAGAAGCAATTAGTTCAGGTTGCTACCGCTAGAAGCTTTTTAAATTCTACGTTTCTGGTACGGTAACTCGTAACTCTATGTTGAGTGTTTTTTTAAAAAAAACTTTACCACGAAATATTAAAACACTAATGAGCGTATATTTGATCGCATTTAATTGTAAAGTTATTTTGATATGTTGGTGTACTCATACAACTAATTTATAAATTAATAAATTACAAGTAATCGATTGTTTATGTATGAAAACAGTTATATTTGAATTCCGATTCGCAGGAAGTAAGCCAAACGCATTAATCTTAATATACGCAATTACGGCTTCTTTGCAATAATATTTTATTTATGAGAGTTCTAATATTTCAGAAATGAAAATTTAAATTGAAAACTGTTGCAATGCAATATCTAGGGGTTTCCACATAACTCATTTTGCGGGAAAACGTTATCTGAGGCGTGAATCACTAACGTAGATAACGTAAACAGGTATATTTTTTTTTATCGACCGCGAGATATATTAAAAAATATTGGGAAATATCCAATTTCCTCCGAAACCATCATCTGATTAGAGTTTTACGTGACCTTAATCTTTTCTATATCGATCAAACCTTCGTTTTTATCACCACTTAAGACCCTTCATTCATTCCTTATTTATTTATTTATTTTTTTGTATTTTTAGATATGCCAAGCAGCGACGAATACGCCATTTACACTCAAAGTGTAGGCGGCCAAAGAATCTCAACAATCAGCGTCGGTACAAACAACAAATTCAACATGACCAATAGGTTCTCGCAAAAATACGACAGCTGTTCCATGTTGATTTCTGGCGGTACAGTCGGTAGAAGGAGATTATCTTCGACCGGCGAAGGAAGCGGAGATTCGAGCACAACGACGTCTGGAAGTAGTAGTTACGGGGAAAGGGAAGATGGCAGTGAAGGAAGCAAAGAAACCGACGAGTTAGAAGAGAAAGACGAAGAAGAAGAAGCACCAACACTTGACGGGAAAGTCACTGAAACTGAAAAGCAACAAGTTGAAACATTTTTCAGAGGATTAAAAACAGAGGTAAAAATTAGTATTTGATAAAAATTATTTATTCTTGGAAGTTTTATTCCCACGTTTCGCAAATTGTGTTTTAACCTCAACAATGTAATCGGCAAAAAACATTCATTCAGATCGAGTCGAGTGTGAGTGATGTGGTGACTCATTTCTATTGAATTAAAACTTGGTTTTTTTCTTTATTATTAATCTTTGTTTATTATATTGTTATAAATCAAGGACGGTAGAATCTATGAGAATTGCTACATCCCGGGAATAAGTACACCTATCCCCCGATAAATTGACAAATTTCACAAAAAACTAATAAAAATGTACAGTGTGTTAATTAATTATCGTACCCGACGTCATCATTGCAAGTATGCAACCAATATCACAGTATTGGTATTGCAATATATGATTTGCGTTTTGCAATACCAATAGTGTGATATTGGTATTGCTTTGATCAGCTCTGATGCTGATGAGTCAGAATTATTCTGGAAAAAATGCCGGAAAGAACCGAAGCTCACAAATCAACTAGTGGTCATAAAGTAGCGAAAAGTCGTATAACAGTTCTTTCCTGTTGTAATGCTTCAGGCGATTAAAAAATCCAAATCACCACGCTCATTCAAAGAAATAAACATCAATAACCTTCCTGTCTAATATTGGATAGCTAATAAAATAGCATGGGTCACTGCCATAATATTTGCAGATCACTGAGTTAGCCCATACCATATGAGGAGAAGGTTTTGAAGGTTTAGCTGAGGCAGATATTGAAGAAATAATAGCTGATGAAGAACTGAATGAAGATGATTTAATTAACATGATTCATGAAACAAACAAAGATGATTAAAACAATGATTTAGATGAAGAGCAATCTGAACCAGTTGTGTTCACAGCAAGAATCATAAGCGTAGGACTTGAATTGGGAAGAAAATTGGGCAACCATTTCATACAATATGACACAAATGTTGATCGACTTCTTTGATTCCAGCGAGACAACAATCTAGCACTGAATACAATTAAAACTAGAACTAACACTAGACCTAGATTAGAAAGTTTCATCATTTTAACGAGAAAGCTTTGAGCTTTAATTTAGAATAAGTCTCATTCCTTAATTTGTCCTTAATTCCTTTTCAATAAATACGGCTTCCAGGAATTTTTAAATTAACATTTTTTTTGACACTTTTGGATTATACGAAAATGTAAGTTTTGTTTCAACCTTGTTTTTCTTAATATTTTTCCAATTCAACTCAACAATTACTATACATCATTTTAAAGAGAAAGCTTTGAGCTTTAATTTAGAATAAGTCTCATTGCTTAATTTCAATAAATACAGCTTCAAGGAATTTTTAAATTAGCATCTTTTTTGATATTTTTAGGTTATACGAAAATGTAAGCTTTGTTTCAACATTCTTTTTCTCAATATTTTTGCAATCTAACCTAACAATTACTATACATCATTTTAAAGAGAAAGCTTTGAGCTTTAATTTAGATCAAGTCTCATTCCTTAATTTCAATAAATACGGCTTCCAGGAATTTTTAAATTAGCATCTTTTTTGACACTTTTAGGTTATATATAAAAATGTAAGTTTTGTTTCAAATTTTTTTTCTTTATATTTTTCCAATCCAACCCAACAATTATTATGAAAGCTTTGAGCTTCAATTTAGAACAAGTCTCATTCCTTAATTTCAATAAATACGACTTCCAGGAATTTTTAAATTTGTCTCTTTTTTCACAATTTTTTGTTATATAAAAATGTAAGTTTTGTTTCAACATCTTTTTTTTTAATATTTTTCCAATCCAATCCAACGATTATTATATATCGATTTAAACAGAAAGCTTTAAGCTTCAATTTAAAATATGTTTCATTTCTTAATTTCAATAAACACGGCTTCCAGAAAATTTTGAATTAGCATCTTTTTTGACACTTGATTATGCGAAAATGTTAGTTTTTGCTCAATATGTTTTTGCTCAATATTCTATCAGATTTTCGTCGTTCTGTAGCTACAGGTCTGATAAATAAATATTCAAATTTACTGCGTCCACGAAAAGTGGCGCAACTAGAATCATTCGGATTTAGCCGTCTTAAAAGACGTCTAGGTCTAGTGTTAGTTTTAGTGACAGTGCTAGTGCAAAACTAACACTAGAACTAGAAACATTCGGGTTTAGCCGCACGTCTCTAAAGACGGCTAAACCCGAATGATTCTAGTTCTAGATATACTGTTAGTTATAGTTTTAATTGTTATGCAGCGCTAGACCAAGAACTAAAATCAGGGATAAGTGGTGCACAGCTCGACGGACCGTTCGTGACGTCACGCATGTGTAGGCAACTACTATTTCACACTTTGAATTAGCAAATACTCTAACTAGAAACATTCGATTTCCGTCTTAAGAGACAGATAACCTGAATACTATAGCAATAGCTGAATGAGTGTGACACGTGATGTGAAGTATTGGTCAAATACTAACGTCATTTTCTGGTTAAAAAAAAGTATTTAACAGTCCTTTTAGATTCAATCGTCCTTGATTTTAAACGAAAAATTTCGTAAATTAATTAAATTTCGTTACCTTTTACTAACGTTTTAAAACATTTTAAGGGAATGTTATGTCTAATCGACGAAAGGTCAATGTTAATGCGCTCTCTCAGTGAATTATAAGTTTATAAGTTATCTTGAGCCGAGGTCGTTTCACTTCAATGACTTGAAATGATTGTTCTTGAAAATGTCTTTGTACTTTTATATCAAACTCTTTATACAAAAACGATAATAAATAATATATTTTTTTTTAGGTTTTTGTAAGTGGATCGTTAGCAAATCTATACACAAAAACATCATCAACCCCGGATTGGGATTTAAAATACACCGGAATTCCGGTGGTTCTTTTAGATCATGGGGAAGCTCGAGCAAGAGACAAACGTCGAATTCAGATTATGTTAGCTGAAAGAGGAACGTGTTTTATGCTTTGGAAAGATACAATAGATAATTTAACATCGTATAAAGTTGCTGGAAACGCGTTCCATACTATGTGTTATTCCATTGATCATTCCCTTCAAATAGGATTAAGTTTCGATAATGCACACGCCGCTCAAGAGATGTGGAATCACATAGAGAAGTTGGTTTCTTGTCCTGAAAATATTCAGTTATCGATGCCGGGTAAAAAGAAGAAAAAGAAAGATAAAAAACCATCGAAACCAGCTCCGTTACCGCCAAAGAGTCATATTTCCCAACCTTGCTGCTTTCAACATGTCACTAGAGTGGATCAAGAAGATCATGATAGGTTCTTTTCTTTAAAAGAATTTGTGCCGAAATCGTCGTTTGGAAGTCAACGATTATAATCTGAAAATCGATTATAATAGTGGGTGTTTTTAGTGAACTTATAAACTATATAAAATATGACTGATGACTGATTTTTATTATATTTTATTAGACTTATTAGTAGATTTGTTTTAGAAGTACTAAAACAAATCTATTATTAGTTATGACAAGCAATTTTCGTTCTTATCACGTAGAAAATAAGGAGCAAATTAAAATATGTGTATTTATATCGTAAATTTACCTTTTCTACTTATTTTTTGTTTAAAGTAAAAATATATTTATTTTCTTACATTTTGTTAATTTTTGTTATTAAAATAAGAATGAGTAAAGATAGATAAAAAAAAATGATTTTTATAAATCTATAGAAATATTGAATTAAACTTTAAAAAGCATTCGTATAATTCCGAATTATTTCTTTTTGTGTTATTGTATATACAATTGTTTTTACCGCGGTATACGTTAGTTTATTCGAATAGTTATTGATAGTTATCTTCACTGTATAGCTTCGAAATGTGGCGATATATCTGCGAAATTGATAAATTAAAAATAATAAAGGCATATTATTCGATTTGTGTGCATTTATTAAAAATATAAGTTCTGCATAGCCTATCTCCTTTGCATTTATATACAGACTTGTTTCCCAGCTGTGCCAAATAAATGTTAATAAGCTAATTCAAAGTTTAATATCTTTTTGATTTTTTTAGAAATACCGTTTCCTGTATTACCGACTTTTTCGAATGAAATTGTTCTACTCTTTGATTATATACAATATGGATTGAGCCAACGAGAGAGATAGCTTGCGCAAGGTGATCGAACCGAGATAGACATAGAAGCGTACTGACATATAATGGGCGTGCGTTAATTTTGGCGGTAAATTTAAAACAAAATTAATAAATGAAAAAAGAAAAAATAAAATAAAATTTCCTTATTATTTATAATACTTACAAGTGATGTGAAACTGTATTATCGCGAACTTTGCACACGAAACAATACATTTTTAAACATAACGGTGTGATCGGCTGTGACACAACAAAACGATAAACATCAAATGGAAGAGGTTTGACACTTTTGTGCGCATGCGCCCGTCTGTTTAGTACCGTTTTATGTCTATCTTTGTTACACTTTCACATTATCGCTTTCCATCTGCGTCTATTCATCTTGAGCCACATTTTTGTTAGTAGATATATTCAGGTTCTACTGGATGGAGCGTAATCATCATAAAGTCAAATATAAGTCATTGATTAATAAATTTTGCAATATAAGTAAACTTAATCTTTTTGTATTATCATTATAATTTTAATTACCTCAGTTTTTTAACAAATTTTTGCGCCATCTATGAAGTGGTTGCCAAAGTTTTAAAATGAATGTATCAATAATTACAATTCTCAACAAATTCATAAGATATTAAGAAATCTTTAGCATTTAAAGCAAAATCTCTTTTTCTCTTGTTTCGATATTGAATATCAAGGTCCGTTGAGTAAACCACAGATTACCAGATGCTTAACTTATACCGCTCTCATTTGGACCTCATATTCTATCTCTCTCTAGAGAATTGAAACTGTGTAGATGGCGGTAGTGTAGTCGATCGATAAATACGAGCGGGAATTTGAATGCTCGTTTAAATAAAAATCTCATTACTCTTTAAATTTTTTTTTAATAATAAGTTCCAAAAAATCAAAAATTGTCATCTCAAAACTTGAACAAGTTTTAAGATGAAAACAGTGATTTTTTTGGACTTGTTATTAAAAAAAACTAATAAAAAATTATTAAATAAAAATGCAAACTTCAGAAGAAGAAATCTATGTATATTTATAGACAAAAATTTACAACTATANAATGAAAAACACATAATTAATTGGATTTAAAGGTTGTATTTAATTCAAAATGGGTAAATGGATGAAATTATAAGCAAGGTAAGTGGATTAAATCAAAAAAAAAATTTTTAGATCAATTAAAATGTACAAGAATTTAGGGTTAAATAACAATTAAAACTAGAACTAACACAAGACCTAGAACTAGAAACAGTCGGGTTTAGTTGTGAAAAAAACTTTCAGTTGTCAATGTCAACTTTAATTTTATTATTATATTCGTAATCTTCATAAAATAACCTTTAAGTGAGTCTAAACTTGACGCATTTATCACAAAAAACCAAAAAGTTCGAACTTTCAACTTTTAATTTTGACATATTTGTCAACTTCATAAGCTTCATAAAAAATCCCTTAAAATGAGTTTAAACTCGACATACCTATTCAACTTTAATATTAATGGAAATACAATCACTTCCGGTTTGAAACGTCAACGTCAATTTTGACATATTTGTCATCTTTAAAAAACCTTTAAAATGAGTCCAAAGATCTCAAAAAAACAAAAAAGTTAGAATAAAAAATGTTAAACCCGAAGTTAGTAACAATCATAGCAATTTAAGAGAGACTCTTTAGAGACGCTGGGCTAAACCTAAATGTATCTAGTTCTAGGTTTAGTGTCAGTTATAAAGCTAAAACTAGAACTAACACTAGACGTAGAACTAGAATCATTCCGGTTTAGCCGTCTTGAAAAACGTGCGGCTAAATCCGAATGTTTCTAGTTCTAGGTCTAGTGTTAGATCTAGTTTGCACTATCACTAGAACTAACATAAGACCTAGAACTAAAATCATTCGGGTTTAGCCGTCTAGAAAGACGCACGACTAAACGCACGTATAAATTTGAGGAATTCAAAGAAATAATTAAAAACAAATTTATTGATATCCTTAGGACATTAATTTTATTTAATTAGAGACACATCAAGTTCATAATAAATACACATAATACAATGACTTGGTGGTATAATTAGAACAGTATGAATTCAAAAACTTATTAATTGTGGCAAAGGCACAGTTGGAAAAAATGAGATTCTTCTATAAACGACGAAATAATACATCAGATAAAGTGAAATACATACAGCATAAGAAATAAATGTACAGAAAACAACAACAACAAAAAGAGAACATTAATAATAATTAAAAAACATGATTAAAAGTACTTCGTTTGTAAATTATTTATTAAAAAGAAAAAAATTAGATTAAAAAAAATAGTTATGGAATGTTTCTTTAAGGTACAAAAAAAATGTTGATGAAAAAATGTAAATATCGCTATAGATTTCTAAAGGTTTTTTTACATGTTACTTTTTTTCGTGCCGTTGGTGATTAGATCCTCGTAGCACGTAGGACGCTGATTTTTCAGTGAAAACATGCCAAAGTCCCTATGTAGGCCGACGAATTGTATAGAATTTTTTTAACAAACCAGAGTTACGTCACGATCTAAACGTTTTCTATCTAAACTAATATCGTGTTCATTTTATTTATTTACTTTCATTTTTTTTACGTTCTTCTTTAGGTTTTTTAGTCTGAGCACTGAGGCCTGATCCCACCGCCATTTCTAACAAGTGATTACTATAGTTTTTTTTTATAAATTCTATTTAACAACCATCGAGTAATAACAAATAGCAACAGTACCTATAATTATTATTACACTACTACATCGATTCTGTAGGACTTTTACAAATCTTTTACAATCTCATTTTTTTATGTTTATTATTTAACTTCTGGTATTTGCTAAAACACACACACAAGATAAATATAATAGGTCTTTATAAAGTTTTTTTTAAGTTATTTCTTTGCAACTTGTGTGCTTCCACTTATTTATTTATTTTTGCTGAACTAATATATGTATGTAGGTAGTATGATTCTTTTAATTGTACATATTCTAATATGCGCTTAACTTTTATTTTAGTCACTCTGTTTATTGTGGCGTACTTTTATTATGTATAATAAGATTTTATTGCACATAGTTCAGATCTACTCGTTTAATAAAAAAAAATCTTAAAGTAACAAATAAAATCTTTTCTTTTTAAAGAAAGTCGAAATAAATTTATGCGTTACTGTAGCACCGTAATTGTAATAATTGATGCGTTTTGAAATAGTACCAAAAAAATCATTAATGAGTATGTTTAAATGAAATAATAAGTTTTCTTCAAACGTCATTTAAAATGTCATTTTGACTGTTAATACATTAAAAAAAAAAAAAAGTCGGTGAAGTCAAGAATGGTTAAATCTAAAAGAACCACCACAAACTTTGTTCTTTTGTAAGCTATTACTGTCTTCAGAAGACGAAACTTTCGAGTTCTAAGTCTAGCGTTAGATCTAGCGCTTAATATACAGTTGCTCACAAAATTGAGTACATATACGGTTAAGCAAAAATGACTAAGTTTAGGTTGGTATTATGTTTTGATACGCTTAATACGTATTAACCATTGGAGTCCACTAACTTTTTGGTGTAGTTTATCGAGATTCTATCCTAAATTATACAAATTTCATTTTTCACTTGTTATTTTTTAACTGAAACTTAACTTCTCCCCATAAAGATTCATGGCGAATGCAGGCGATAATTGACGCCAATGTAGGGTCTCTACAACATATTAAAACATATAGGTGCGAATACACAAATCTCATGTCATCATCTAATGATATGAATCCAATATTAACTTATGGCACGGCTTCTTCAAAAACTATAAAAATAGAAAGTTTTGGAAATCAGCTATGGAAGAAATTTCAAAAGTCAAATTGTTGTCATTTGTAAGTTTAATCATACATTTCTTATATACAGGGTGAGTTATTAGTATTCCGGCGGTCGATAGTTACTAAACCGTTTGAAAAACAAAAAAATATTTTATACAAAATTTCTTTGACTCATCACTTTCTATTACGTAAAATTATTTTTACTTATACAGCGTGTTTCATTTAAGTGTAACGGAGAGTACGTAAATTTATTTAAATTGAACACCCTGTATATTTTATCATACTATGAATACAACTAAATTTGTTTATACAACCGTATATGTTACTATTTCACAGCGTTCATAGTTCCTGAGATATTCAATTGCTCTTCCAAAGTGTGCCTATTACAGGATCTTTTTGCAAACGATGTAACAATGACATTTTTTTTGGATTTTGCCTTGAAACTATGTTAGACAATAGTCAAAGCCAGTAGGTAGATAATAGTGTCCAAAGATACACTATACAGGCTGTTTATAAAGCGTAGTTACTTTTGATGTTTTTCAAATGGCTTTTTCTTAAGTTTTTTAAATGGAACATCCTGTATATTGTGTGCTAGTTGTCATATGTGTAACTTTAATAGTTTTCCTGATATTTAGAATTTAAAGAAAACCATGTAGTAAAATGTCATTATTGTACTTAAAAAAGTGACAGAATATAATATATTCTGTCCATTTTTTTTGTTTTTTCTTTTTTGTTCATCTGTCATAAGAATCAAAACCTGCTTAACGCTAAAAAAAACTTTTTTAATTACTAAATTATTTAGAAGTTGTTCAAAATGCCGCCTTTCTTCTTTAAAGTCGTAAATTATATGGCAGAACAATTGCATATTTTATTACTTACATCTTTTTAAATCTCATAAAGTACTAAGTCGCATTAAAATTTGGTATATGGCAGCAAAATTATTTTACATTATAAAATATTAATCAAATAATAAAAGGAAGAACAAAAAAAACTGATAGAAATAGACAGAATATAATATTAAGTACAATAACGCATATTTTATCACACATAATTCTTTAAATTGTAAATATCAGGAAAACTACTAAAGTTAGATATATGACATACTTATCATTTATTAAAGGTAACTTGATGAGCAATTCAACCAGCACACAATATACACAGGCTTCCATTTAAAAAACTTATGAAAGAGCTATTTGAAAAACATCAAAAGTAACTAAGCTTTATGAACACGCTGTATAGCTATTCTATTTATAATATGATAAAATATACAATATGTTCCATTTAAAAAATCTACATACTTTCCGTTACGCCTAAATGGAACATCCTGTATAAGTGAAAATATTTTTTCACTTATAAAACAACTTTTGTGTAAAACATTTTTGTCTTTCTCAAACGGTTTAGCAACTATCGTCCGCCGGGATACTAATAACTCACCCTGTATATTTGTATTGCCATGGAACTTCTCCTTCATGGGGTATATTGTGTAAATGTCAGTTGTACATCTTTGGCTTCCAAATTTCTGCAAAGGTTAGAACACTGTCTGGGTTGTATTGTGCCATTTTTGTGATTTTCCACATTGAAACTGCCATAAGGAGTGTAGTGTTTTAGATCGTGTTATGCAACACACACATGGCAGATACAATACAGATCATTTTTTAGGTTCTAATTCTTCGGTCTTCTTTGTTCACCATACAGATTTCTAAATGCACATGGTTTCATAATGTGTGGCTTAGTTCTTCTTGGTAGTGATCTAAGTTTTGAAAATTTTAAACTATCATTTGCAAGTTTCTTGACAAAGAGCATCCATTAAAAACGCCCCCATCAGAAATTCTTACATTAATGTATCGAAATTTGTAGTCTGCGTCAGCCAAAGCCATTAATAGTACACTATGCGTGCCTTTGTAATTGTAGCACAGACTTTCACTATGTTTTAATGACAACGTGTTTACAAAACATTGACAACTGTGGAAACAGCGTATTCAGAGACACCATATATCATAAGAGAAAAATGTCTAAACTCCGGTGTTTCACAGAAATATCTATGTTCTATGGAAACACATCTTAGATATATTTGTCATGAAACAAAAATCTCATAAAATTTTAGTCTCTAGCTTATCATCAACCTAAACTTAATCACTTTTGCTTAACTGTATACTCAATTTTATACCGTTTCGTATCATTTGTTATTATTGTTAATATTGTGATTATTTTATTTGGAAAAGTGGATTATTTTGTATCACAAACTTTAAAATAAATTAATAATTGTTTGAAATCTTCACAATTATCTATCTTCCATTTCCCTGTATACTCAATTTTGTGAGCAATTGTACATATTAAGCTTAATATATAACAATCTAGTGGTGAATAACAATTAAAATTAACTTTTGCACTAGCACTGTCACTAAAACTAACATAAGACCTAGAATCATTCGGATTTAGCCGTCTTAAAATACGTGGGCTAAATCCGAATGTTTCTAGTTCTAGGTCTAGTGTTAGTTTTGTATTATCACTAGAACTAACACAAGACCAAAAACTAGAATCATTCGGGTTTAGCCGTCTTGAGAGACGTGCGGCTAAACCCGAATGTTTCTTGTTCTAGTATTAGTTTTGCACTAGCACTGTCACTAAAACTAACATAAGACCTAGAACTAGAATCATTCGGATTTAGCCGTCTTAAAAGACGTGCGGCTAAATCCGAATGTTTCTAGGTCTAGGGTTAGTTGTAGTTTTGCACTGGCACTGTCACTAAAACTAACATAAGACCTAGAACTAGATTCATTTGGATTTAGCCGTCTTGAAAGACGTGGGGCTAAATGCGAATGTTTCTAGTTCTAGGTCTAGTGTTAGTTTTGCACTATACTAGAACTAGCACAAGATCAAAAACTGGAATCATTCGGGTTTAGCCGTCTTGAAAGATGTGTGGCTAAACCCGAATGTTTCTAGTTCTAGTGTTAGTTCTAGTTTTGTTATTCAGTGTTAGATTGTTATATATTTTTATTGAACTAAAAATAGAACCAACACTAGAACCAGAAACATTCGTTAGTTCTTGCGCTAATGACAGCCCTACTTTTAGTTGTGATTCAGCTTAGATTGTTGTATATTTTTATTGAACTAAAACTAACACTTTTTTACACATTGCAAAACTCGATCATTTTTCTTTTATATTATGAACCTTATTAAGTCTCAAACTAACAACATTATAAAACACGAATAGAATAAACATTTTTGACGTTTAAAGAAAATCTGTTTTTAAGTAAATCTTGATAAATTATTTAAAAGAAGATTACTCAAAAAAAGTTTTTGTCGTGTTTTAAATACATCATCAATTTTATCACTCTCTAACTCCACCTTTTCATTCGAAATAATAAAAAATAAAAATTTATTTTGCTACAAACGTATCAATAAAGATAATAATAAATAACAGGAAACTCTAAAATAAAAAATTAATGAATATATTATATACACTCGCCGAGGCTTTCATTTCTACTCTATACACTATTTTTTTTTTATTATTAATATATTGCCGTATCATTTCGTATTTACACGTCTCAGTCCAATAAGCCCGTAAGTAAACCTAAACATGTACACGCAAACTCTAAGAACATCATTATCATCATTATTATGTTTTGAGGTAACTTATTTTTTTTTTCTTAAAATTTTTATTTAGGTAGAAACGAGAAGGGACCGATCAATCATCGTTATTAATGATCGACAATTAAACTACTATCACAAATAAGACTGTGTGTACTGCGCGACTACTTTATATATTTCCTCTTTTTTAACTCTTTTTTTTTAAATCTTTTTTATTTACTTTTTATAGCAACTAAGCACACCCTAAACGGTCTGTTAAGTTGATTGTCGTGGTTACGTTAAGCAATGTGCTCTCTTCTCATCTAAATTTTTTTATTAATTCATTCTTCTTGCATACTACACTCTCCGTCGACTTTTGAGGAACGTGCTTCAAATTCTTTTTCCAACATTGATTTAGCCTATATAAAAATAAATTCTTCATCATTTCAAATTTTTTTAAAAGGATTTATTATTTTAAATTTACCTTCGCTTTGTGTTCGGCGAAAGCATTTCGTACAGTTTCATGTTGCCTTTCTAGTTCAGTCAAATTATCTTGGAATGCTTTACACAATTTTTCCCTTTCCATAACACCTTTTTCAACAACCTCACGATTCACCTCACGTTTAATCCGATCGAGTTCATCGCGATCTTTATGTTTCTTTTCGAGTGCTTTAACCTCTTCGCGTCTTTTTAGCTGTAATCGACGCATTGTTTCAAATGTATCCCTATCGTATCTTGCTTTTAATTGTTTCGTTTGATTCGCCTGGGATTGTTTTAAAACTTTATCGGCCGCGCTGTAGATTATCTCGTGATATCGTTCGCGTAAATCTCGTTCTTTTGCGAGGTAATCTTTGTGGATTGCCAGCAATCGTTCGGATTGGCTTCGCGGGATCAATGGTTTATCTGGTTCTGTTGTTGTACAACTTTCTTGTTGATCGATTACGCGAGTTAGAGGTTCCGAACTTGGTGATTCAGTTGAAAAAGTTGATGTTCTAAAAAATTAATAATATATTAAAAAACTAGTTTTGTAAGACACGCTTAAAATGCACGAATTCAAGTTTAAAAATGAGAGGCGAAGCCACGAGTTTTTTAATGAATTAGTGCTTTAAGTCTTATGAAACGTGTTTTTATGCAATTTTTTGTAATTCGCTATTTATGTAGCAGTTGGTAACACCGTAACACTTGAAAATAGAAATTTGAATTGACAATTAGAAGTTGTCAAAACAATGTATTAACCTGAAAAAAATGTTTCATGTACACCTCTCGAAATAAGAAAAATTATTAATCGATTTTAATAAATTTAAATATATTTTATTAATAATTTTCAATTTGACTAGGTATAAATTCCAATTCGAGTTGTCACATTGACAACTAGAAAAATTAGTGACCCAATGTCACCAACTTGAACTGGTTCCATAAAATGTTACTAAAATCTCATTACAGCATCGGATGCTGTAAGAAGTCTCATTACAGCACCTGTTTGAGTACTGTAATAGCTTTCATTACCGTCGCGAATTACAAAATAGTATATTAAAAAACTAGTTTCGTAAGACACGCCTGAAATGCACGAATTCAAGTTTAAAAACGAGTTGCGAAGCCACGAGTTTTTTAATGAATGACTACTTTAAGTCTTATGAAACGTGTTTTTTATGCTATTTTTTGTAATTCGTGTTTTTAACACTTTTTTTAACAAAAATAATATAAATTTTGACAATGTAGGAAAATAGGTGTGTAGCGGTTGATAACACCATAACACTTGAAAGTAGAAATTTGAATCGACAATTAGAAACTGTCAAAACACAAAATGTATTCACCTGACAAACATGTTTCATGTATAGTTCATTTTTTTTCTATAATACCTGCCAAATTGTTGTAAAGTTGGCAAAATTTTGTTTTATCATGTTTTGAAATAAATATGTCACACTGACGTTTGAGCTTTCGTTATTCAAAAAGAAAGGGTGCATAAAAATTGTTGTGGTGTGTTTATTTGCCATTTATTTACCTAGAAAAGGTGTTTTGTTCTATTTAATTACTTTGTAGCACGTTTTTACAACAAATATGTACTTCGTTAAAATCGCATTTATCTAAAAATTTATTAGTATTTTAATCTCAACTATTTAGTTACTGAAAATGTTCCTAAAAATCAGGAAAACAACATAAATTTTATAAGGCTCTTGGTTAATACTAACAGAAACCCTAAATAATTTACATTGACAAGTATTATAGAAAAAAAAACGAACTATACACCTCCCAAAATAAGATAAATTGCTCAGAGTTCAATGTCCTCATCATTGTGGACCTTGTATTCGATGCTAAGAACGTGTTTATACATCCATAGACAAAAATTGTCACATTGGTGGTTGCTGAGATGAATAGCAAAAGAATTTAAATTGGAATCTACATACAAGAAAGGTTATAAAAAATGACGGACGATGGAGAAGATTACGGAAACTGGAAAAAGAGAATAATCATCTATTTGAAAATGAAAAAATGTAACGAAGCTGTTTCAAGAGAAAAACAGAGTTCCGACGGAGATGATTGGGTTGAGAAAAATTTAAAAGCCATCAATATTATCTACAGTGCGATCACAAATAAACAACTGGAATTTGTGAGCGAAATAGAAGCTGCATATATGGTATTATAAAAAAATTTGATGAGTTATATTTAAAAGAATCGACAGTGTTACAGATAATTTGCAGAAATAAATTGGAAAAACTGAGAATGAAAGATTTTAAAGATATTCCAACATTTTTTAGTGAATTTGAAAAATCAGAAAATTTATTAAAANGGCATATGGTATTATAAAGAAATTTGATGAGTTATATTTAAAAGAATCGACAGTGTTACAGATAATTTGCAGAAATAAATTGGAAAAACTGAGAATGAAAGATTTTAAAGATATTCCAACATTTGTTAGTGAATTTGAAAAATCAGAAAATTTATTAAAAGCTGAGGGTGCAAAAGTAACGGAAAAAGAAAAAATGAGTTATATTGGAAATTTGGTTGATGTTTTAACCCTTTATGTACAAAGAAGTCAAAAATTTTGAAACTTTGTGACAGAATCAGACAGAATTAAAACGATATCAAAATACACTCAGTAAAGGCCTTTGGAATCAATTTTGGCAAAATATGCAATCCCCCTATTTTCGTATAATCTAAGTGTCAAAAAAGATGCTATAGTTCATTTTTTTTCTATAATACCTGTCAAATTTTTGTAAAGTTAGCAAAATTAACAGGGAGTTTTGTTATATGATGTTTTGAAATAAATATGTCACGCTGACGTTTGAGCTTTCGTTATTCAAAAAGAAAAGGTGCATAAAAAATGTTGTGGGGTGTTTATTTGCCATTTATTTACCTACAAAAGGTGTTTTGTTCTATTTAATTACTATGTAGCACGTTTTTACAATAAATGTGTACTAGGTTAAAATAGTATTTATCTAAAAATTTATTAGTATTTAGTTACTGAAAATGTTACCAAAAATCAAGGAAATAACATAAATTTTATAGGGTCCTAGATAATACCAACAGAAACCCTAAAAAATTTACATTGACAAGTATTATAGAAAAAAAAAACGAACTATAATTCAAAACTTCCTGGAAGCCGCGTTTACTGAAATTAAGAAATGAAACTTATTTTAAATTAAAGCTCAAAGCTTTCTCTTTAAAATGATGTATAATAACTGTTGGGTTGGAAAAATATTAAAAAAAAATGTTGAAATAAAGCTTACATTTTCGTGTAACCTAAACATATCAAAAAAGATGCTAATTTAAAAATTCCTTGAAGCCGTATTTATTGAAATTAAGGAATGAGACGTATTCTAAATTAAAGCTCAAAGCTTTCTCTTTAAAATGATGTACAATAATTGATGGATTGGATTGGAAAAATATAGAGAAAAAAAATGTTGAAATAAAACTTACATTTTCGTATAACCTAAAAGTGTCAAAAAAGATGCTAATTTAAAAATTCCTGGAGCCGTATTGATTGAAATTAAGGAAAGAGACTTATTCTAAATTAAAGCTCAAAGCTTTCTCTTTAAAATGATGTGTAATAATTGTTGGGTTGGATTGGAAAAATATTTAAAAAAAAATGTTGAAATAAAGCTTACATTTTCGCATAACCTAAGAGTGTCAAAAATGGTGCTAATTTAAAAATGCGCCGAATAGATGACTACAGTTTAAAATGAGTGTTAAAAATTTATTAATAATATTAAATTTTACTATACTCTGTTTTTAAACCAGGAGGAGTATTTTAAATTTGTCACCAGATTGACCTTGCACGTGATTGGTCGAATGCGATGAAGGTTCACACACATTCAATTTTGAATTTAAATTTGAAGGTTAGGTTATTGATCGTTCGACCGTTTCGTGTCATTATTGTAAATTTTGTATTCTTAAACCCTTCTTTATGATATTTTTAAATAAATACACTCATAACTTCAATGTTAGTTTGTATGTTTAGTGTTGACGATAACAAACGAAAATAAATACAATAAGTAAATAAATAAATAATTATTAATTTAAATTTACCGCCAAAATATCTAGTGATATTTTCTTGTGATTTTTCCTAGTGTAAATCTGACTTTCGCGTTTACTCCTGATTTAAAAACAGAGTATAGAAAAATTATTGACCCAATGTCACCAACTTGAACTGATTCCATAAAATGTTACTAAAATCTCATTACAGAAGAGGATCCTGTAAGAAGTCTCATTACAGCACCCGTTTGAGTAGTATAATAACTTTCATTACCGTCGCGAATTACAAAATAGTATATTAAAAAGCTAGTTTCGTAAGACACGCTTGAAACGCACGAATTCAAGTTGAAGTTAGTTTTTTAATGAATGAGTGCTTTAAGTCTTATGAAACGTGTTTTTTATGCTATTTTTTATAATTCGCGTTTTTATCCTTTTTTTTTAATAAAAATAAAATAAATTTTGACAATGTAGGGAAATAGGTATGTAGCAGTTGGTAACACTTGAAAATAGAAATGTGAATTGACAATTAGAAATGTCAAAACACAAAATGTATTCACCTAAAAAACATGTTTCATGTAATAAGAGAAATTTCCTGAGAAGTTCCACAAAAGATATAAACAACAATACGCTAAATTTAAGACATGGTGCAAAGAGAAGATTAAAGAAATGTCAACAATGTCACCAACTTGAACTGGTTCCATAAAATATTACTAAAATCTCATTACAGCATTGGATGCTGTAAGGAGTCTCATTACAGCACCCGTTTAAGTACTGTAATAGTTTTCATTACCGTCGCGAATTACAAAAAATTAATTAAACCAATTAATTTAAGTAAATAATAACGTACATGTTAGGTTTGGATAANATGTTACTAAAATCTCATTACAGCATTGGATGCTGTAAGGAGTCTCATTACAGCACCCGTTTGAGTACTGTAATAGTTTTCATTACCGTCGCGAATTACAAAAAATTAATTAAACCAATTAATTTAAGTAAATAATAACGTACATGTTAGGTTTGGATAATTTCTTTACTAATTTGATGTTGATAAAAGATTTTTTTTCGCCACTTAATTCCCCGGATTTTTGTGAATGAAACGACGTGACTTTTTTCTTTTCTTTTTCATATTTCTTCCGCATACTCTCAACTTTCTTTTCGCATTCGAGTCGTTTTTCCTTCACCAATTTATTTTCCATGATCTTTTCAATCGGTTCCGCAACAATAACTTCCTCGATTTTTTCTTCTTTAACATCAACTTTTGCAAGGGAGTTATGCTCAACGCTTCCGCTAAGATTCGGTGAAGTTTGCATCATAACGCTGCTTGGTGGCACATCGTTATCAATCGACATGTCTAAGGAACCGGCTGTTAAAGCAATCGCTGGGGGTTTTGTTGGACTTCCATTGGATGTTGGGGGTGCGTTTGAGAATGAAGTGTTATTCCTATTGGGTGCTGGCTCGATTGTGTCAGCCAATGGGTCTAAGTCGTCTGTTAACACTGAGAGTTGTTGAGCACGTTTTTCTAAATCGCTTTGATATTTTATTGGGTTTGCTAAAGCTTCGGCGAAATCAGCAAAATCGTCTGGGACGTAATCTTTAACTACTATGTGGAGAAATAACGCCGCCATCGGTATTGGTTGGCCTAATTCGGTTCTTAGATTAACATGGCGATACCCGGGGCATAATCCAACAACAGGTAAAACGCGATGTCCGATAAATCTTCCGGAATCGTCGTAAGCTGATAATCTAATAGATGCTAATTCAGGGAGAACAATTTTCTTAAAAACGAAAGGTTCATCACTATAAACTGGGTTTATTCCATTATTACTGACAACTCTCGTTCGAAATTTTCTTCTTACAGTATCCGCTGGTAAACCATACATATCAACCTCAACGTAAGTTCCTACTCTTTTATCAGATAAACATTGTCCAGATAATACTGTTATTTCAACCGTTCCAGCTATGATTCCATCGACGGTAGATTCGGCGAAAGGATCTAATCTTCGGTCAGTTCTTCTCATGAATTCCGGTTTTAATAAAAACCCACATCTTTGGTTGTATTCGAAAATTCCAAGGTTAAGTTGCATTGCTAAATCTAAAGTTTGAAAATTTAACGCCACCAATTGACATCCGGCGTTCCAATATAATTGGGGCATAAAATTCGAGGAATCAAATCGAGTTCCACCTGGATACACCCTACTCAATTGATGTTTATTATAATTAACAAACTCAATTGGTTTTTCTTTAAGAAGAGTGGTCGCTTGTCTTTCATCGAACGATGACATTTCGTAACAACGATTTTTCTTTTGAGCGCTTTCGAAACTACTAAAATGTACCGGTTGAACGTAATTTACTAAAGCGGATATTTCAGCACTTGCTTCCGCTTCAGTTTCAGATTCTCTTTGAGTATCATCGCCGCTTAAACCACTAACACCTTCCACGGAAGCTTCAACTTCCGGTCCTTCAACTTCTTCTTCTTCGCTAGTTGAATCTTCATCTTCAGTTCCTGTTGATTCTTTAGAACCTTGACGAGTTTGTGATAAAGGTGGGGGATGAGGTACTTCGCCATTTCCTTTACTTTCTTCGGGTTTGTAATCTTCAGGTGAAGATCTCGATTGACCGCGATGATGATGATGGTGTTTCTTTTTATTTTTAATAATAATTTTTCTTTTTAACATTGAAGGCGGTGGAAGAGCAACCCCCGGTTCTAATTTATGCGTCTCTAAAGGTGCTTCTAATAGCATATCACCAAAAATTTCTCTACAATAATTCGCTAATTTCACTTGTTGCTTCGGTCTTAAATGATTTTCAAATGATAATATCACTGGGTAATCAGAAGTTTTAAATGCACTCTCCGCGATTGCCTCCAAAACTTCTTTTGCGGGTATTTCCGGTACGAATGTGTAACCATGAACGACAACGGGTTCATCTGAATTTCTTGTATTCCAAAAATCCAATTCAACGCATCGACATCCTGCTAATAAACATTGCCGATAAATTTCCACGCTACTCCTTCCGGTTATTTGATGACCCGTTAAGTAAGTATTGTGCGAAGAATTTATAAAGTAGTGGGGTAAAGGTTGGTCCATATCGTGGGAGAGATCGTAAGTTGTTTGAGATAGGATATTATTGTCTTCTGAGAGTAAATATCGAAGAAAACCGTCGAAGGATAAAAGACCTTTTTGAACGTTGGATTTATTTGGTTCGTATTGGTTAATAATTTCGAGTGCGTTCGCCGAATTTGCGTAAGGATGTAGAATTTCGTTGAGCCTTGGATCCCTTTGTTGTTTATTTAGGAAATCGACGATTTGTTGAATCGTCATGTTACCTTTCTTTACCCCTTCAGTTCTAAAACGAACAATAATTTAATGATTTAATAATTAGAATTACAAATACTTACAATTCACAAAATACTTGTTCAACTTCCGGCCTTTGCGTTAAATTTTTGTATAAATTAAAAAATGATTCAAACTCAAATTTTTCCGGGCTAACAGCGTCGTTTTTCCCGTATGGAAGTCCGATCGATTCTAAAGCTTTTTCTAATCTTTTCTTATCATCCCTTTGATTAGCAAACATTTTTATTATACTATAAAAGAAATATAAATACTTAGTTACAATAAATAAATTAAGTAAGATTTTATTACTTTTTAACTGGTATTTTTCCGCTTCGATCAGCCATCATGGTAAGTTTAGTGTGAGCCTTTAAAAGATAAAAACTGGTAGTCCCATTGACTTGGTTAAGATTATAGGCCAAGCTCATGAGCGCGTCCGTCCAAAGTTGAGCGATATCCTTTTTCGTACAGCAAAAGTTGATGAAGACCAAGTTAACGAAATCGCTTGCGCAACACACGGTAACGGTTTTTTCTTCTAATGTGTCCGCTTGTGCACCCATAGCGACTACTTGTCTTAATCGAGGATCCTATTTAAAAGATAAAATTAAAAATATTTAGTGGGTAAATAAGTTTTGTATATAAAACACATCTGATATATAAAATAAGCTTTAAGTATGATTGCTGAATATTGATCTTCTTAAACTCCCTATAGACCAACGAGAACAAACTAAAAACACGCTTTATGTATAATACGTTAATTCGAAATCATGTTATGTTGCGAATTAATTAAAGTACTACAAGATTTATTTTTAATCAGATTTTAGAAATTACTGTATTCTCTAGCAGTAAGAACTAACAAAATTAATATTGCTTAAGTTAGAGAAGTTTTCGGTGTAGACAGCGATGAATGTTTTTCTTACTCAATGAGGTCGTGTTTATTCGCACTGCGTAGCCGTTCACGTATCTTTTTAGTTTTCATTATGATGAACTCTACTATCGTTTTAATGCCTAATTCTCTGTCAAGTTGTTTATTTGTGACGAATCATTCAGCGTCTACGTTTCCCAAGATTTCCATTAAACGAATCAGTATAATATAACATAATTCTGTTAGTCTTCCACAGTCTTGATTTAACTTAACATTGATATTGCATTTCCATTATTGTATAAATAATAATCTTTATATTAACCACGACAAGTGCAGCAAAATCACATTTACACGTAAACGCTATCCTATTGCTTTTGATTATTCCCTCGGCTCTAACACTCTCAAACAATATGAGTACGTTCGAGATCTTGGCGTTCTCTTTGACTCCAAACTTACATTTTCTACTCATATTGTCGTACATGTCGTCCTTTCATTAATATAACCTATATCCATTCACTCTATTTTGCCTATGTATTATAATAATAATAATAATAATAAACTGTTTATTGAACCAGAAATAATGATAACAAGAACAAGATACAAAATTATTTGAACAGAAACAAAAAAAAATATATAAATATAATTAACAAGGCAAAATAAAATAATCCTTACAACTAAAATAAATTCTCAATCAAAAATTAGTATCCAGAGTCTTCCGAATAATCAACTGCCTAAACTGCGCGGCTGAGCAAGCATATCTAACCTCGACAGACAAAGAGTTCCATAGTTGCTTAATCCGGTAAGGGAAGGAACGATAAAACTTAGCAGACCGGTGATGGTAAATCTTATTTTATGAACAAGGTATGGAGGTTTCCCTGTGTAAAGAATCGTACAAATTAGACACAAATATTGCACACGGAATCTCTGTTTCATATTCATCCAACCACTAGAGATTAGAACAGGGGAAATATGATCTCTTCGTTTAACGCCATAAACAAAGCGCAAGCAAGAGTTTTTGCAACAACTTGTACGCATTGATTCAAAAGACAAGCAAGAGCTAAAAACAACACTACAATAATTGAAGTTGGACAAAACTGATAGCCTAGTTTTGAAAAAATTTACGACATGAATACAAACGCTTTAAGGCACCAAAAGCGCGCGCACGCAGAATCCCTATATGCCTACCAAAATTCAATTGACTATCTATAATGACTCCCAAATTTTTAACCTCATCCGAAAAACGAATTGATTTATCCAAAATGTCAATATGAACTCGAGATCCATCCACAAACCCACCACGTCTTTTAGAGAATATGATACCCTGAGTCTTATCAGGATTTATCCTCAAGCCATGATTACTAATTTCTAATAATACGACACATAGATGGAATTACATCGGGTTTAAAGCTGTAATACAATTGCGTGTCATCCGCATACAGACCTTAGGTTCAATAAAATCTGCTGTATACACTCAGTAGAGACCTCACTAAATGTAAACACGGACGAAGCAGGACGTATCCTATTATTGTTATAAAAAGCAAGAATATCAGTATCAGGAGTAATCAAGGAGTCATTTACACTATAACTAACAAATGCATTGATAACATTAGGATCTGACAAATGAGAAGGCAACGAAATAGCTGAAGATTTCAACACGTTAAACCTTCTTAGGTTTTTCCACAAGGTTTTTTCCTGTTTGTGGAAATATCCTAATTCCTGTTTTATCATAGTCCAAGTTATAGCAAATATAAGTCTCAATCCACCTTTTATCACATTTATTATAAAAACATAAGTGAACTTTTTATTAGTCACGATTTCACATAATTCATTAATTTTATAATGAATAATTATTACGCATATTATTAATCATTAAAATTAATGTTTTATGTAAAATTTCTTGTAAAACAATTTTCAAACACTTTGAAAATATCGATTTGTAGGAACCGATGTACAGTGGATACTTTACACAAGCCATAAAACTATCATCACCACACAGGCATAAAGTACAGAAATTAGCGCAGTTTTGGCTGCGTTCCAACGTAATTAATAGTCTCGGTACAATTTTTCGATCGTTATGAAAGCACAAGCGCATCATTCATTGTCGTTTACCGACTACTCTTCTTGATACTCGACCCATGATTAATTTTCGCTCAAAGTACGTTTGAATTTGTTTGAACGCTTATTGTTTGTTATGAGAAGTTAAAACGGAATGACTCATACGTAAATATAATCGCAAAAATATGCATGTATAATTAAGAAAGGTTTTCTGTTTCTTAAGAATACAGGTGAGTAATTGTTAAAAAAATTATCACATTTTTTTAAAATTCATTTAACATGATTGTTTCAAATGGAATTTTCTAAAATAAATAAATATATAAATTATAATGTACGGAAACTTGATAAGAGGTTGTGATTTATCGTCGACCTAAACGATCGACCGTTAGATGGTCCGCATAAATTAAGTTAACGTGGCGAAATCGGCGTAAATCGGGTATCCTTGACACGATTTGACCGAGTCTGCGGTCATTTTTTTCTTTTTTTTTTTTTGGATAGTTAAAATAAAAATAGTTTGGGATACACACAATTAAAAATTATTTTTTATATCTACTTTTTCTTAAAAAGATTTCAATTTGGTTTAATCGTTTCATCCAGATTTAATGCTTCGCGAATAAGTTGAAACCCACAAATCCGATCATACCCCGATTAAATTCCAATTATTACCCATTAACCTCGTCAATTATCCCGCCCTGCTGCAACCCTATAGGTGTCGACGGATTTAATTAGATCCCGTTGCAGATCTCGATGCAGCAACGTTCTAAAAATAAAACGGGGAAGAATCGATTTCAGGGTGGCCTTATATTTTAGTTATCATTTTAACCTCCCGGAACTTTGTCATTTTTAATTTAACGCGGTCTATTTTATCTTTCAAATACAGTTTTAAAACTAACATGTTTAACAAAAATCATTTTCAATTGAAAATCGCAGGGGAAACATATTTCTCTCGACATTATTATTCCTTTCAACTGCAAATAACGCAAAGTGGTTTCAAAATTATGGGTCTCCATTAAGGGGGTGGCACAAGAGATCCACGGGGAAGACCTTCCTCAAGGTCAACAACTGTTTCCATTAGTCTCCCTTTTTCCCGTAGGATGATACATCTCCGGGGGGTTTACAGATTTATAGCGTAAACCTTTTTAGTAAAAGGGATAAGGACACCTTTTATTAGAGTATGTTTTGCGGTCATTCTCGAACATTTTTACGACTTTAACGTTTTCCACCAATAATTCTCAATGCAAATGATGTCTACAAAAATAAACGGTATGTTTTTTAGGGATCGTAAAATTCGCTAAATTTAGTAAGTTTCGTTTGTAAGAACCTTTTGTATTCATCTCAATTTGCTTGGTTATTTTTGAAAACTCGCTTCGTACGTTTGTTCATTGTTCTTGAAACGTTTGTGTAAATCTTCGTGTATTTTTAAAGAAGGAAATTTCAAAAATTTATTGGAATTCCAAGATCATATCTTTTCTAGCATTTTGCAAACACACATAGAGCTTTTGTTAAACTCTGATGGCTTTTGTAAGTGACGGACAATTGTTTTTGCTGGTCGGTGGAGGAATAATAAACACACACACGTACACACGACGGCTTCAGCCGACCGTCGTAATTGTTCGTTTCGCTGTCATACCAAGTGTTTATCAGTTCCCGTTGTTCGTTTTCATTTCATCCAACTTTACAAATGCAAAGTACACCGTAAAATAACCATTATTGAAACGGAGCGAGTAATTCATGTTACACAATTTTTTATAGTTTAAAAAAAAAATAAAAGCTAAAGCTACAGGTGCATTGAATTTATATCCGCCGGGAAAATATATCCTCGTATTTTTATTCCTCTGGCAGGTAGGTTTATGTTATCGAAAAGGATGTGTTTTAAAACGATGAGATAGAAGAATAATACATCAAAGGATATTTTTAAAAGACTTCTTGAATCATAAATTCCCTTGAATAAGAAATTTTTACTTAAAAATATCAGAAAACTTACTTTAGGAATTTTTGCGTAACGTCCAGTTCTTGTATCACGAATATTCGCTATATCCAACATATCGCTTTCATTTTTCTGATCGGTCCAATGAAGAAAAAATCCAAATTTGTCTACTTTAAGCGTTACGGGGGTTCCCATCCCGGAATCCTACAACAAATAATTATATCAATAATGATTAAACAAATATAATATTAAATTTTTAAATAAGATTTTTATATTATAAAGCAATGATAAAAGTTATGGAAAGTAGTATTAAAAAGTTTTCTGCTACTAGAGAGTTTATAAAGTTTTCACAACGGTATAAAGATACCAGAGTAAACTCAGTATTGTCAACTACACATTTCAGTATGTACTTTATGTTATTATTGTAAATTATAATAAATATATGAAGTGAGTACTTAAAAATACTCGGATATGTCATAAATGATAATAAAATTATATAAAATTGATATATGATATAAAATTAAATGATAATACTTAAATGATAGGGTAAGAAGAGTATTCTTCTTCTTATCCTATTTATAAATTAACAATCTAAAAAACAACAATTTAAACAAATATGTGCAGGCACTAAAACGTATTGAAAAATCATTGTTGTACTTTGTTGTAAAGGAGACACTTGGTAAAGTAAAAACCATGTAAAAACTTCTAACTTACATTTATTTATATAAAGTCGTACTAGTTTCGGGTTACCCCATCATCAGCTAATTACGATCTTAACGATTCCTCGATTTTCTAATTTTTTAACATTCCACACTTTTTAACGTCGCCATTCCTATTTCATCTTTTATCTTCATTTTGTTTATCCATCAGATAGCAAAACGCTTTACTTTCATTTGATTTCCAGTCTATAGCTTCATTGACTTTGTCGCTGATGATGGAGTAACCCGAAACTAGTACGACTTTATATAAATAAATGCAAGTTAGAAGTTTTTACATGGGTTTTATTTGATCATTAATCTTGCAACATGGATAACTCTTTCACTTGGTAAAGTGTTCTTGCAAAATATAGGTGCTTATCTATCTTCTACATAACCAATTCTTAATCAAAGTCTTAATTTGTTCAGTTATAATTAGATTATCCAATAATAATCAAAAAATCTTGCTTATTAATTATGACACAAATTTTCGTAGGCCGACATTTTCCAGTATCTAGTCTGGAAGATTACCTTTTCCAGTTGTGTAATTGAAAACTAGTTACTGTTGGCTGAAGAAAATAATGTACACCAGAAAGACTTGAAAGTGATAAATAGACTGGATATCATTAATTCCTCTATTAATGATATCCAGTCTATTTAGATAATGTTGACAGAAAATTAGATAGTGCTAGCAGAAGGCTAAATACTGCTAAAACAAGACTAGATACAGCAGGCGAACGCTAAATACTGCAAATGGAAGCCTAGATCTAGCTTATTAGTCCTCTGTAAGCTCATTGCTTGTAGCAGATTAAATAGTGCTAATAGGTTATCAAGATGACATTTTAAAGTACTTTATGTACCGATTTGTATGCAACATCGAACCAAGAATTTCCTCATTTAGCATGTTGGACATTATTTATTCCATTGATTACCAACTTCATTGACTGCTTATTTTAAGGCGTATGCAACTTAATACATCAAAGATAATGTAATGACCACAACACTGGTATTAAATAAAATTCCATTATGGTGGCAAATCTAGTCTGCTTAAACTTTATTACATTTGCACTGACAAACAAAAAATCATTGCCCTTCCATTAAGGAAGTAATTTTTTTCTTTTTGATCCAAGATTAACCATCATGATACTCTTATTTCTCCCACTTTCCATGCGAATACAGTTTCTCCTTCTTCTCATAGGCCCTAACACATTTCGTAACAAATGAGTGATGCTGACGTAATAACTATTTTTGAGTGAGTCGTCTCTTACCAAGCTTATCTTGCTTGTATTCTGGATTTAGAGACTTCTATGCTTTCTACTTCATTGATTCATTATATATACTCCAATTTACATACTTAATTTTTAGTTTTGACCTTATTTCCTCCATGCTTTTCACCAAATTTTGTTCGATGCATAACTAAGTAAATTAATTCAAGTATCTTAAGTAGTGCAATTTATAAGTTCAACTCTCTCATCTTCATTAAATACTCTTCTTTATTTCATATAGAGGACTACATACGTAAATATGAATGCAGCGAAGCTTTTACGTGTAGAGGATGGCACTTAAACAGGTCCTATAGGAGGGACTCGACTTTCTCTAGCTTCGTCCGCCATCCTTTCCGGTCTCTTGCAAGGATCTTCCAGTTCGCCGCACCAACCTTTCCCGTATCCTCGGATACCCTGTCGTTCCATCTAAGCCTTGGTCTCCCTCTGCCTCTATTGCATGTTGGTATGCCCATGTCATAACATGCTACATGTCCGGCCCATCTACGCCTGACAATCTTGATCGTTGTTCTTATCTCTGTGGCACTCTATATAAGTTATCAAGTTCAAAATTATACCTACGTCTCCAGACGTCATTTTCCAACACCACATCATATATTTTCCGCAAAATTTCTTTCAAATGCTGCTAGTGGCGTTTTATCCGTCTCTGTTAAGGTTCATGATACCGCGCCGTCGATTAACACCGTGTCAATTCGGGTTTTAGGAATTCTGATTTTTGCACTTCTTCATAAGTTAGATTTACGCAGTCTATAGTAGCATATTTTGACAGTCCATAGTAGCAGCGGTTAACAAACATAATGCGTCTCTTTATTTCTTTACTGACATCATTACTACGGTTTATTAGGGCTACGAGGTATGCGAACTCTTCCACTGCTTCGATGTTAGACTCTCCAATTAATGATACTCTAAAACATGCGGATTAAATATTTATAGTTTAAGTCGCAGTTTAGTGTCTTTAAAGAATTTGTCAAATAACATCAATCAAAGGCAATGAGTCAAGAAAGTTATTGATACTCAAAATTGCTCTAAATCTGCTAACAAACTTTTAATCCTGTTAAAAATGCGAACATTTTCTAATCCAAGATTGAGGTAAACGTTGTTGGGGGCCTTGATGATGAGGGTCGATTTAAGTATATCGGATCTACTTTGAACGCAGGATCAAAGGATTTTATTAATTCCCCGCTACATAATTTAGTAGATTTAATTCTCTATAAAAACCTTAATTAACATTAATTTCATAATTTATTATTGTGTCACACCAACACATAAAAACGAACTGAATTTTTGTAATTTAAATTAAAATTTAAATTTTAAATCAGTCATTAAGTTGTTTGCAAGAATTTTTGATAAGTATATATTATGGGGAGCCGTCCCAGATCGAATGGTTTAAATTATAACTTAATTTAATTTAAAAGTATTACATTTTAAGCCGGTGCATTACAGTGACATAACAAATTCTGTTCATGCCAAACCGTTTTGCGTTTTTGTCACGTCACTCGAATACAGTTTTGGGTGAGGTAAAATGGTTGGGATTCCAACGTATTAATAAAGTAGATCCACTTTTGTAGGACAAACTAAGACACACAATATTTTCATATATATACAATTTCGCCTCTCCATTTTTTTATTAGATCTTTTTATACCCTCTACTGCTGAAAATTGCTTTTGCGAAAACGTACTAGTGCCGAGACTCGGTGGCATGTTGCCTACAGGCCTTTGACAGTGTCACTTCAAAAGAACACCAAGTACTAGGTACTTTTACAAGAGAACAGTTTAGAAAAAACTTGTATTAAGAGAGCTACTTTTCTCGTTAACTAAGCCAGTAATAACGTTCAGTTTTTAATATAACGAAAAACGTGGAATTTAGATAAATTCTCTTAATTATATTTTAAAATGTGTGGGAATACTGATCCCGAAAAACGTAAACGGTAAAATCCCAGTAAACAAAACGTTAAGCTCGCTGAAAACGTTAGTGAATGAAATTTTCAGACTCCCACGTTAACCGACACGCAAACTTACGTCACGCCAACAACACATCTTAAAAGCGATGTAAACATTGAAGGCGTTCGTTATATTTTCAATAATGAAAGGAGACGATGTAAATAACCGCAAAAGTTAATTCCGGATACGGTCAGAAGCTATTTATAAAACTCATTATCGTTCTTCTTAGAACCGTAGGATTACGCGGGATGGTTTCGTTTCGGATGACGACGCGCCCTTAGCCCTGGAGTAGGTAGGTTTAGTAGCAGCAGGCCGCAAAACTGAAAATCAATAGGTACCGGTGGCCGGGTGCTGCAAATATGTTCATTCGATGTTTATTTTTCCAGCCTCTTTATAATCTTTTATTCCAAAATCACTTTTTTTACCAACGCAACAGGAAATTAGAATCATTTCTTATGTCGTCGCGCGTCGGTGGAAAATTACATTTTCTCGAAATAGTGTAATTTCTCGATTGATAAACATTTTTGTACCACAAAAGGTACCGAGAAATCTATTTTAAACGAATTTCGGAGGGGGCGACCAAGTAATAAACATGTTTTGAATCATCGACATAATAAGGAAAATCTTGGAAATCAAAAATAAACAAATTCCATTAAAATCTTTGTCTAAAAAGATTAAAAACATTTTATATTTAATAATCACGCACGACGAATCCCTAAATAAATATTTTGTAAATAAGCACCAGTAGCGTGTGCAATCTCCTTTAAATACGTTTTAAACATTATCTCAATTTTATCTTATCTACATTGTCTTTTTTCTTCAATGAATGAATCAAAGAAATAATTTATACAGAAACTTGTTAATGTTTACTTTTTTTAACTTCTCAGCAGTTAACGTAATAATCATATGACAAAATAATGAGTAGTTTCAACAATAATTGCTAATACGCAAACATTTTTGCCTATTTCCTATTAAATTCCTTTGCTTTCAACTTTATTCTAGATTATAACCACGTAGAGTTTCTATTAAAAGGAGGTGGGGGGTATTAAACTTCCTGAAATTAGCAACTCATAGTGAAATTGAGTTTGGTCATGCTAAAACTTGTAAAAGGCAAACTACACCCGCCATCGTATACCGCCGTAAACTCCGAAACAAGGCGGAGAGTTCGTTCTATATTTAACCAGTGCACGTTTTAAACGTTTCAAACCGCAAGTTGACGGGAGTTTATCCCGTTGCGGAAGGAGGAACGAATACAGATAACGCTGACGCCGTCCATTTGAAATGT